ATCTTCTTTAAATGTCTGATAGAATTCTGCTGTAAATCCATCTAGTCCTGGGCTTTTAGTAGTCGGGAGATTTTGTATTACTGTTCCAATTTATTTTTGGGTTATGGGTCTGTTTAAGCTGTTAATCTATTCTTGGTTTAGTTTTGGTGGTTCCCATGCCTTTAGATATCTGTCCATTTCTTTTAGGTTTTCATATTTAGTAGCATATAGGTTTTTAAAGTATTCCCTTATAATATTCTATATCTTTCTGGTGTCTGTTGTGATGTTTCTCCTTTCATCTCTGATTTTGTTGATTTGGAGGTGCTCTTTTCTTTCTTTTGGTTAACTGGGCTAGCGGTCTGTCAATCTTATGTTTTCAAAGAACCAGCTCTTGGATCTGTTGATTCTTTGTATTGTTTTCTTTGTTTCAATTTCATTAATTTCTGTTCTGATTTTTGTTATTTCTTCTTCTCTGATCGGTTGGGGTTTCGTTTGCTATTGCTTTTCAAGTGTCTTGAGTTGCAGTGTTAAGTCATTTATTTGTGTTCTTTCTGATTTTTTGATGTAGGCACTTAGAGCTATAAACTTCCCTCTAAGGACAGCTTTTAGCATGCCCCAGAGGTTTTGTTGTGTTTTGGTCTTTTTGAGACAGGGTCTCCCTGTAGCCCCAGCTGTCCTGGTACTCACTATGTAGACCAGGCTGGCCTTGAACTCACAGAGATCCACCAGCCTCTGCCTCCCAAGTGCTGGGATTAATGGCGTGGGCCACCATGCCCGGCTCTCCTGTCGTTTCTAATTGGCTTACTGAATGTTTCACTTCCTTCTTCATTTCAGCCTGAGTAGTCTTCAATATTTCTAGCTCTTTTGTGAATTTATTCAGAAGTTTATCCCTATCTTCTTTCAGTTCTTAGATTTGTTTGTGTGTTCTTTAAATTCATTGAATTCTTTTATCATGTTTATAATTGTTCTTTTGAGTTCTATGTCCTGCATTATCTCTAGGGGGTTCTCATTGTACTCCTCTAGAGGACTATTGGTATTTGGTGGGGATATGTTATTTTGGTTTTTCATGTTATTTTTTTCTCTGTGATTTTGACATGTAAATTTCTTTTGTAGAGTCTGATTTTTGTGTGAGCCTCAAGCCTTCAAGTTTAGGTCTGTTTCTTTTTGTAAACTTTATGTGTCTTTGTGGTTTACTTTTGGCCATGAAAAGCTGGTTCCTCTAAGCTTCTGGTTTTCTCTTTTGGTTTTATTTTGGAGTGGCCAGATCGCTTTTGTGTTCAGGAATTCCCACAGAGGCCCAAGTCAGATGAGGATCAGATGCTCTCAGGCTTTCTCCTAAGGTCTGGATCCCTCCAGGAAAGATTTTAGCCTCAGGAATTTGGGGGTCGGACTGGCCTGGGAGCAGAGCCTAGGAAAGATGCTGGTCTAGGGCAGCTGGTGGTTATGCCACCCAGAGATGCAAAGGAAGGTGGGGGCGGGAAGAGGCCCCAAGGGCTCCTGGGGACTGCATTGAGGAGCTGGGTTGGTCTGGTTGCAAAGGATCAGGAAAGAGAAAGGTCAGCACCCCCATGCAGAAAAGAGGCTGGTAGGTTGTGTAGCCCAGGGAAGCAGAGGGAGATGAGGGGGGGACCAGGCCTGAGGGCTCTGGGGAGAGAGGTAGTGGGTTGCAGGGAAACCAGGGAAGCAGAGGGAGGTGAGGGCAGGGCCAGGAGGGCTCCTGGGGATCCCAGAAGGAACTGGGTTTGTCTGGATGCAAAGGATTAGGAAGCAGTGGTGGTTCCCAGGTGTCTGGGGTGCCAAGACAAGTAATGGGACAGGATTCAGGCTAGGAGGGCAGGGGAGATGGGAGGGTGAATGAGGCTGGGGAGTCAAGGTGCAGAAGACGTGATCCACTTACCCGGAGAGAGGCCTGTGGGTGGTGCAGGCCCAGGGAAGCAGAGGGCCAGGAATCAGGTTTTATGAGAGGATGTGACAAAGAGACCAACAACCTGGTAACAAAGGAGGCCTGAGCACTTCTGGGTAGAGTCTGGTGCCTGGGCTAAATCTAATGGATAAGAGGGGCATCCGGTTATTCCAGGCAGGAAGAGAGAACCCTGGGGTCACTGGAGCTCAGAGACCCAGGGAGTGAAGGAAGGAAGTAAGGCCAAGTCCTGGTATGGCCAGGCAGGGAGGCTGTGCAGGCACATGGGGGCGGGCAAGCTGTTGGAATTCTTTCCCAGAATTGGGTCTCTCAGGGACAAAGTGTCCACCAGAAGACACAGGCTGGTTGGAATCTTCATTGACCTAGCCCTGGCCAGACAGGATGGCCAGGAGACCAGCTATTGGTCTGCCCACCCCACACCCAGGTGCTGCCATCATCATGACTGCTGCTACTCTCGAGCTCAGGTGGCTGGCTGCAGCCCCAAGATGGACCGCTACCCCTGGAATTGCATCGACCATCATATCCAGTGTGGTGAGTACCCCACACCATGTACTCTGACTTCCCCAAGTATTCTCTGGGCATCTGTAAGAGCCTGATGGCTTCTGTGCTCTTGTCATAATAATGTATCACTGCTTCTAGCTCTCCACAGACCATACTGTTTCGTTGCCTTCCACACCGAGCACTTGAAACACACACACACACACACACACACGTATTTATTTCTTCAGTGTCTAGACAAAAGATGATAGAAATGGAACCAGGTAGTAAACAACCTAAAAGCCCATCAGAAGGGGACGCTGTAAATAAGCTGAGATGTATGCAAACTGGAATACTCTACAATCTAGAGAAAGGATGAGGTAGAACCATACATTGACATGGAAAGATGCTGAGTGAAAAGAAATTTCAGAATGACCCTTTCACTACTACACTATTAAGAAAGACACCTACTACTTTCCACAGCCAAATGTACAGATATAGAAAGTTCAGAAAACGATGTGAAAGGATGCACTTCAAACTAGTGTGATGGCTGATCTTGGTTGTCTACTTGACTGAATCTGTAATTAACTAAAATGTGAGGGACTTTTTTTTTTTTTGGTGTTTTTGAGACAGGGTCTCCCTGTAGTCCCAGCTGGCCTGGGACTCACTATGTAAACCAGGCTGGTCTCCAACTTACAGAGATTTGTCTGCCTCTGCCTCCCAAGTGCTGGGATTAAAGGCATATGCCACCACATCCGGCTGTGAGGGACTTTCTTAATCGTATTACTTCCCCACTCTAAATGTAAGTGGCTCCCATGGTGGCAGCCCATATAAAAGGACATTGCAGAAAGGAGCTTTTGCTTTTGCCCACTTGCCTTCTCTCTCACTGGAGAGTTTATCTATCTTCTTGTTGTGGCATTCCTTTGCCAATATCAGAACCAACATCTTTGGGTTCAAGATCAGCCATTACAAGTCCACCCCTTCCCAACTTGACACCCAATTGGATCTCCTCATATTATGCTTAACTTTGAAATGTGAATCAAACCATTGTCTACAACTAACTTTGAAATGTTTTAAAACAAAACAAGCAAAAAATTTAAAAGAAAAATAAAAAGAAGATGACGATGCATGGGTAGATGGATAGATGGATTGATGGATAGGTTGTTGGATGGGTGGATGGATGGACAAGGGCATGTGGAAGTAAAATATTGATGGTAGAATCTGTGTGGTAGATACACAGTCTTTGACAATTTCTTCAAAATTTTCTGTTTGACAATTTTCATGATTAGAGATAAAAAGAAAGAAATGATAGATGGGTGTGGTGGCACACTCCTTTAATCCCAGCACTTGGGAGGCAGAGGCAGGCAGATCTCTGTGAGTTCAAGGCCAGCCTGGTCTACATAATGAGTTCTAGGCCAGTTGAGGCTACAGGGAGACCCTGTCTCAAAAAGATCCCCTGAAAAATGAAAGAAAAGATAGTGGGTGTCCCGGGCCACTGTTCCTCACCTTTGGCTCCAGTGTGGGAGCCTGTCACCAGTGGGGGCTGCTTGTCCCTCAGTGTAGTGTGATGACTCTCCTGGTCTGTGCTTCTGAAGCTTTGGCCTCAAATATTGCATGCTGGGAGCACAAGAAGTATTATCAGGGCCCATCCTTGTGGACCAAGGGCTGTAGAACTAGCTTTTCGTGTTCCTTGCACTGGTTCCTCCTCCCTGAGACTGGGCTAGGAGAGACTCTTGAGAGTCTGGAGCTGCCCTGCTACTTTCAGCCAGAGACTCTGGAAAATTCCTTCCCTTCCCTGGAACACTGAAATCATATTAACACTTAGTGGAGGTGGCCCTTGGGCTATACCGATTCTATGAATGTTTAATTTGCCACTGTTCTAGAACAGCAGTTTGAGTCAGTATTTTAAAAATCAAACTCTTTGGGCTGGGGACAGAATTCAGTTGGTAGAGTCCCTATCTAGCATGCACAAAGCTCTGGATTCCATCCTAAGCACCACATAAACTGGGTATGGCAGTGCATGCCTGTAATTCTAGTACTTGTCAGGAAAGTTAGGAGTTCAGGGTCATCCTTGAATATATACCAAGTATGGTAAGGCTACATGACAGATTTTTTTTCTTCAAACAATCTAGGGCTGGAGAGATGGCTCAGTGATTAAGAACTGGTTGTTTTTGCAGAAGACCTGGGTTTGAGTCCCAGCACCCACATGGTGGCTAACTACTGTCCACGACTTCAGTCCCAGGGGATCCAACAGCCTTTTCTGACCTCCATGGCATTGCACGACATGGGTGCACTTACCTACACTCAGGCAATACATGCGTACACATAAAATTAAAAAACAAAACAAAACAAAACAAAACAAAAAAACCCCCAATCTATTTCACATTAAAAAAACCCTGAATTTCTGTATGTTTAGTTTTCTTTAAAATCAGAGGCCCTCATGACATCAGTCTCAGTAACAACCATTGGATGGAACATACAGGAGCTGCCACTAATAGACAGGGCTTATCTCTCCCATCTCTTCCAGTCCCTCAAAGTAGAAGGTTATGGTCTGGGGAGATGGCTCAGTTGGTAACATGTTTGCCATTGCCATGAAAGCATGAGGAGCTGAGTTTGATCCACACAGAACCCACATTAAAAGCCTGGGCACAGCCATGTTCATGCTAGTAATTCCAATGCTGTGAAGCAGAGACAAGAGGATCTCTGAAGTTTGCAAACCAGTTATTCTAGCCATACTGACATGCTCCAGGTTCAGTGAGAGACCCTGTCTCAAAAGAAGGTAGAGAGTGATAGGGGAAGACACTTGATGTCCACTTCTTTACACACACACACACACACACACACACACACACACATGCTATATACTAATTTTGTGTGTGTGTGTGTGTGTGTGTGTGTGTGTGTGTGTGTGTGTTGGCAGCATGGCATGTGTATTTGTGTGAGGTCAGAGGACAACTTGCAAGAATTCTTTCCTTCTACCATGTGAGTTCCGGGGATCAAACTCAGGTTGTAAGTTTGGCTGCAAATACCCACTGAGCCATCTCCCCTTCCCACATAAAGAATCTTTTGTATTTGTCTATTAATTGCTTATTTATCTTTAACCACAGGCAACATGTATTTAATGACTATTGTCATATGATACATTCTGACATCATGGGATTATATATGACCAACTACTAAAATTAAAAGAAAAAAGGAACAATTAAAAATGTTAAATGTAGGGATAGCAAGATGGTTCAACAGTAAAGGTGTTTGCCACCAAGCCTGACAATCTGAGTTCAATTCCCAGAACCCACGTGGTAGAAGGAAAGAACCGACTCCTGCAAGTTGTCCTCTGACTTCGACATGTGTGCTGTGGCACACACCACCATGCCTGGCACCTGAATTCTCAGCTTTTCTTAGATCTGTGATTTCCTATCCTGTAGCTTGTTTTCATTTTCCATTGTTTTTTCTTTACGTTTATTGTTTTTGAGACAGGGTCTCACTAAATAGCCCCAGCTGGCCTAGAACTTGCTATATAGATCAGGCTGGATTCTAAATCCTAGAGATCTGCCTGCCTGCTGGGATTAAAGGAATATGCCATAGTACCCTGCTGTTCTCATTTCATTTTGATGAACAAAAGGTTTTAGTTTTTTGAACTATTTTACTTTTTAATTTTTTTATGTGTATGAGTATATTGCCTGCATTTATGTAAGTGTACCCATGTCATGCAATGCCCATGGAGGTCAGATGAGGGCGTCAGATTCCTTGGAACTCGAGTTACAGACAGTTGTTAGCTGCCATGTAGGTGCTGGGAATTGAACCCAGGTCCTCTGCAAGAGCAGTCAGTGCTCTTAACCGTTGAACCATTTCTCTGGCCTCAGGTTTTTCCTTTTGATAACACTCAATTCAGCTATTTTGTATATTGTTGCCCATGTATTTTTTATTATTTTTATGTGTATATGCATTTTGCCTGCATGTATGTAAGTGCTTCCATGTCATGCAATGCCCATGGAGGACAGAGAGGGTGTTGGATCCCCTGTAATTGGAGTGATCGACAGTTGTTAGCTGCCATATGGGTGCTGGAATTTGAACCCAGGTCTTCTGAAAGAACAGCCAGTGCTCTTAACTACTGACCTGTCTCTCCAGCCCCAGCTCCTAATAGTTTTATATTGCTAACTCTCGGATTTATGGCCGTGATCTACTTTAAGTTAATTTTTATACACAGAATGAAGCAGGCCTGAATTAATCCTTTGGCATATTGTTGTTCAGTTGTCCCAGTGCCACTTGTTGAATAGTCCATTCTTTCCCTCTTGGATAGTATTAGCATCTTTTGTTAAAAGTCACTTGATCCCAGATGGCTGGGGGTTGCATCACGCTAAGATAGTAACAACCTATCTGAGCTTCAGTTTCCTTACCTGTGCTGAATGCCGCAGAGATAAAAGAAGGGTTCAGAATGTGATAAACAGATTGAGCAGGGAGGTGGGGGGATTTTTGTTCTTTTCCTTCCCTTCTACTCACTTCTCTCTCCGACTCCACTGAAACACCAGCTCCTAGAGACATGGTCTGCTCTGGAGGCAGGGGGATCAGAAGGGTCACTAGGAGGATGGTTTCAATATATACTACTTCTCAGCCATGTCTCCCTAGAAGGAAAAAGGAGCTGGTACTAGAGTAAAATTGGGGTCTCCGAGATGCTTGGTGGATAAAGGTGCTTGCCCTTGAGCCTGATGACCTGAGTTTGATCCATGGGACCCATGGTAGAAGGAGAAAACTGAAGTGTGCTAGGGTACACGTCCCCCCAACTGCCACCACCAACAAAAAAAATGCAAGCAATTTTTTTTTAAATTAGAAGAAGCATTTCATTACAACAGCATTAACCTATTCAATAACATTTTTCTGAGCTAGGGTACATCTCTTTCAAAATTGGCTGTACATTTTTAGTTTACAGATGAATTATTACGCTAATACAATCTTTTACTCATTATAAACTCTGTAAGACATAAAATTAAATGAGGTTTTAACGTTTAAAAAAGATCTCCACTTCATTGTCAAAACACACAGTTTCATACAGAAAA